CTTCTGAGCTAGATGGCCGCTTGTTTTTCTTCAAGCATTGAAGACCCCAGATGGTATATCTTTTGATAGCTGGACACCATCAGCTTTCTTCACCACATTTGCTTATGTACACCTTTGTCTTCTATGATCGGGAAGGTGGTTACCCACTGATAAATGATTTTTCGTTCTTTGATGCCTGTTACGTGGTCTCTTCTACACCTTGTGGTCACAGGCTGGTGTGCTTCCATGTGGACTTTGTTGCTTCTGAGCTAGATCTAGATAAGATAGGCTGGATGAACAGTTTGGAGGAGAAAACAATGGGACCGATGGTTCGGGGGGACAGGGGAGGGGAGGGGTTGGGTTGGGGTTGGTGTTGACCAACCCAGGGACAAGGGAATAACAAGTGATCCAAAATCAGTGGCAAGGAGGGTGTGAGAGGCTTGGTAGGGATTCAGCAAGGGCAATGTAACCGAGAGAAAGTATTGAAACCCAAATGAAGGCTGAGCATGGTAGTGGGACAAGATAAAAGTAAAAGGAAATAGAGGAAAGAACTAGGGGGCAAAGGGCATTTATAGAGGTCTAAATACAGGCATGTACATATGTAAATATATTTATATAGGATGGTGGGGAAATAGATCTATGTGCATATATTTATAGGTTTAGTATTAAGGCAGCAAATGGACATTGGACCTCCACTCTAGTACTTACTCATTACAAGAACACTTTGTTCTATTAAATTGGCATTCCATGATGCTCACCTTCCCGACATGATCACTGAAGACAAATGGGTGCATAAGCAAAGGTGGTGAAGAAAGCTGAGCGTGCCAAGTTATCAAAAGATGTAGCAGAAAAAGAAAAGAAAAAGATACAGCATCTGGGGTCTTGAAGGCTTGCAGGTAAATAGGGTAACCTGACTTTTAACAGCCATAAACTAATGTCTCTTAGTTGTAAATAAATAAATGGAATGATTGCATATCTCTTTTGCATTGTATTCTTTGGGTCAACATTATTTTGATAGGTATAGTCAATTTTTGCTACTATATCGTACTCTGTTGTGTGAGTATATCACAGTCAGTCTGTGTTACCACTTAGCCGTTCGCTTGTCTTCAGTTTGTGGCCATTAATTTGCTGCATACGTACTCCTTTACAGATTGTTGGGTGCCTGTGTGCGTGCTTTTCCATTAGGTGTATATGTGGGAGGGGAACTTCGTTTGTGTATCTTCACCTTCATTTACGTAAAGGCTAACAGTTTAGAAATTTGTTTTAAAATGTATTAATGCTTCATTAATCATCTAAAGCATCTTTTTTTATACATTATGTTAATTTTCCTTAAAGTGAAATCACTGACAGCAACAAAGGCCGCAAGATGTTGGAGAAGATGGGTTGGAAAAAAGGAGAGGGCCTAGGAAAGGATGGTGGAGGAATGAAAACACCGGTAAGACCTGCTTCTCTTTCTCCCCTTGGTGATTCTGTCTTAGAACAGACATTCACTGGGTGCCTGCTATGTTCCAGGCACTGTCCTGAGCACTGGGAACGTGGCAGCAAGAAACACAGGCAATGACTAGCGCCATGGACTTGATGAGATATATGGCTCACATATGTATGTAGTAGTTGTATATCACACACATACACACACACACACACATATATAATAGTTGTGAACTCAGTCATCGTACTTATTTCTGCTTGCTGTACAGTCCTGGCACCTAAGACCGGGCCGGGCACATAGTAACACACACGAGGGAGCTTCATAAAGTCTTGGAAATTTCCATTATTCTGTAATTCGACTTTCCACTAGTTATTTTGAAGCTCCTCACATATACGCCCTTTTGTTGGTTTTAGTCCTCTTAAGGAATCCTTCTTTAGAGTTTTTTCTATGTTGAAGATAGGATAAAACCAAATCCAATGCCATTGAGTCAATCCTGACTCATAATAACCCAACAGCACAGAGTAGAGCCTCCTTTAGGGTTTCTGAAACTACATCTTTATGGGAGCAGACAGCCAGCCTTTTCCGTCTAGACAAGTGCCTGATAGGCTTGAACACTTGACCTTGCAGTTAGCAGCCCAACCTTTAATACACTGCCCCATCAGGGCTCCTTGAAGCTAGAGAGTCTAGCTTTTAATTTATGAGCCAAACATTCTCCTAATTGTCCTGGTGGTTTTTAACGATTTCCTTACATGCCTCTTATGAAACATGACAGGAACAATTTCCATGATAATGGGAGAATTGGTATTGGGTGCAGGAATCAAAGCATGTAACAAGTAGTCGTGTCTGCCTGAAATCCGGGAGTTTAATTGGCATATAAGATGTGCCCTACTGTATGATGTTTGATGCTCTTGGCAGGTTTGAAGTGTTCTCTTTCAGCTGATAATCAGAATTCTAGCTAAAGGTAGACTGCAGTAGGCTGCAATGTGCTGAGACTTTAAAATACATCTTCTGCTCAACTTTTGGAAACAGATTCAGCTTCAGCTCCGGCGAGCGCATGCAGGCTTGGGGACAGGGAAGCCATCCTCGATTGAAGATGTGCACCTTCTCCAAAACAAGAGCAAAAAGAACTGGGACAAAGCCCGAGAGCGGTTCGCCGAAAACTTCCCAGAAACTAACCCTCCAAAAGAGGCACCAGGATCCGTGCCTTGGGTCAAAGGGAGTATCGAGTGAAGGCCAAGCAGAACAAATTCAGACTTTTCCAAAGAGTTTGGAAACACCCACTTCGACAGGCGTCAGTGGCACCAGGGAACCATGGCATAATTTACACCCTCAGGACACAAAGTGTGTAATAAATACGGTTTTATTATATTGGTAAACTTTGCAGCCTTTCAAAGCATTTTTTAAAGAAAGAAATAATGATGCTGTCGTGGACTGACTAAAGTTCACAGGTCATGCACGAGTTTATCAAACTGTTTTTTGTCTTGTCATTTACATTACCCACAGAAACAAATATCCATGTAGCAAGCGCTATATAGCCACTAACGACTTATTATACATTTGTCCTGCCTCCTTATATTTGTTACTGTAAGATGCACAACAAAAGAAACAGCTGAAGTTTAAAAAAAGCGTCTTCGTTTCTTCCCTTTAGGTCAAATGCTGGGAATTTTGGGGTAGCACTGTATACATTTCATTAAGCTCGAAATAACAAGTGATTTCATTGATGGATGAATGAATGAACAGGTGACATGTAGAAAACTAGTCCTTTATTTTCTTCTGTGAAGAATCTATTTGTATTATATATTAAGCATTTACTTTTGGTTTGTTTCTTAGCTGATAAGATATGGACAACTGAGTGCAGTATTGAAATAATTCTACATGCTGGCATTTGTCGATTTGATCGATCCCATTGCTGGCAATGGAGTTGTGCCAGAGAAGTCTGATTGCTCGTGCAAACAGATGACCAAACCAGGGCCTCACAGTCAAGATATTTATTGCAAATGTACTCAAATGCAATAAAAACATCTTACAACATAAAAAAAAAGTGTGACTTCATTGAAACAGGGATTTAAAGGACAGAGTTCTGTTTCACACTTAGGAGCAGCCAGCACGACCCTCTTTAAAGTGTCGGAGCTCCTGCTGGCAGGCGCAGTGCGGCCCTGGGGACAGGTGTCACTGCTCTGCCAGCCGTCACCATGTGCTTCTGCTCCGCTGCAGTTCTGGCAGTGGGTCTAAGCCATAGCTTTACCTGACTGTTATAAAGGAATGTCCGAAGAGTAAGGGAAGGAAAGTTCTGGAAGGGAAAAAAAAGTCCCTAGAAAGGAAGAAAGGTACTGCCTTACAGAATTTCCAGCCAAATTTTACAGAATCTTTAGAAAGGGGGGGGGGGGGGGGCGGAAGATGAGGTCTTTCTTTGTATTCTCCTGGATGCTTGTAGCCACACACCTGTTAGGAGGCCACAAAAATAGAAAAAAAGTACATTGTCATGGGTCTAAATTTGATTCTGGTTTGGTACTGGTGCCTTTAACAAGGGCTTCAAAAAGTTGGTAGAAAATTCCATTATTTATTAATTCTGTTTTTCTACCAACTACATTTTGAAGCTCCTTCATAACATATAACTAATAATGTTATTAAAACCAGGAGCACACAAAAAAAATCCTATCGTGAATGAGGGGAGCGCGTGATGGGGACCCAATGCCCATCTATAGAGAACTGGAGATCCCTTACAGAGGAGTAGTGGGGAGGAGATGAGTCACTCAGGGTTCAGTGTAGCAATAATGAAACTCACAACCTTCCTTTAGTTCTTAAACCCTTC